AAAAAAATCAATAGGTTTCCATGCAAGTTTTGAGAGATACAATCTAACTTTTCAAAGATCCTGCGATAAACTGACTTCGAAATTGTTCCTCAGAAAAGTTTTTCCTAATGAAAAGATGGCTCTTCGCCTTGGTAGTCGAACGCCGAAAACCGCAGGTCTGTATCTTATTCCTATCAAAAATTATTCAAAAACTAGTCACACGCACGGACTTTTTGGACGGACAGTAGTATCATATATTTCAGCATATATACAGAAACATATTAATAAAATATCCCGTTGTGACCTAGACGAGTCTTTGTTTTACGATAATCTTTTCTACTGAGATGTCTTTATGGATGAAGAAATGAAACAAAAAAGTAATAACGCTACTGGAAATATAAATTTAGAACATTTGTTTAGATTATTCAGGATGAAAAAAATTATCGACAGACACAAGTTACTTCGAATCCGCTAATTCCAATTCATTGAAAACCATTCCAAATAACAAAATAGACTAGATGATCACGCGAGTTCTGTCCAGGTTTTTCACAACACGATTCTCTCCTTCCATCTTAATATCGATAATATCTGATATTTGAGAGAGTTTTTTTCGTTCATGTTGAGTGGAGATGTGGTATCAGTCTGGGTTTGCGTGTAGATGTAAGTGTAGATAGGGGTGTAATTGTGGTGGAACAAATATACGTTCTGACATTCACACTCCGTCCTCGGTATTATATTAAAATTCCTCATTAATGAAATCTTGATGGAGTTTCATTGAAATACATGACAGATTTTCTACAAATGTTTCATGAAGCACATCTTCGGTGAGCCTCTGAAATCAGCGACTAGTCGTTCGTTAGTGCCCCTCCGTGGCGCTACTCACAGCTAGCCACTCTCACGTTCAAGTATAATTGCTCAATTGATAACCCTTTTACATTTAGGATCTGCGTGATCCATGTATAGACTACTCGTACGAAATTACTTGATGTTCCTAGATAGGGTTTTCGATTGGGAATTCAAAAATTAGACCTACTGTGCAAATGTCTGAAAATAGAGCACGTTGTGTCAATGCTTACTAAATGTCGCTATAGAATTCCAATTCGCTTTTCTTTTACAGGCAACATTTCTTGAACTTCAATAAAAGTTATATTTGATTCTTTTTCTTAGCTCGAGTATTTGTATGCAAGTTTTGCAAAAGATCCAAAGTTGAATTTCTATGCTTGACTGTGTATCATGCATGCTACATTGTTTAGGAAAATATGGCGGAGTCCAATTCTTGTGTCGTGCATCTTCAGCTGTACGATATCTCATAAAGAATAGATCGCTTGTTCGTATTCGTTGGTTCATTCTTCTTCAATTCGCTTGGAAATACCGACAAAAAAACCTATATATGCATTAGTAATGTACGACCCATAAGTTATGAAAGGACTTTTAGAAAGTTATTAAGTTTGAATTTGGATTCTTCATCTATGACTATCTATTGTGAAATTTTCTCTTGAATATTAATATTTAATAGCTAATAATGAAAATGTTCGTCTGACTGTCTAGTCTCCTTGTCTATTCTCTCTTATAAACAGGTCACAGACATACATGTATGGATATATATTCATGCATAAAAAAAGAAAAGATGAAGAGATGATAGCATCACTACATAAAAGAAAACTATAAAAATAGAAAAAATCGGTCTGGAAATCTGATTGTCCATCTACGATTGCCTGTGATCCACTTTTTTTATAGAATATTAAAAAGTAATGAAATGAACATCGCATACAGATTCGCCACGTTCGATTTCTTTTGATTGATTTTTATAAAGATCCATTATTGACTATAACTCTTACTATCCGTCATAGTCATCACAGTGTTACTAACGGATGTTCCAAAATAAATTACATTAAATCTCAGTGAGTTTTTTTCTCATTTTCTATTTATAGCAACAATTTTGTTTACATACTAAAAGATAGAGGAATTTAGGCTCTATAAAACTGTATTTAGTTTAGATCCATGTACTGCCTCAGAATGGTTTACAATAAAGTCTAAAAACATCCGACAGAAGGTAATTATGGTGTAAGAAAGATTTTTTTGATGCTTTTGCTAAATAGTGTAAGTCACGGAATGGTTCGAATTCTGATCCGATAAAATTTTTCTACATTGCATCAATTCAACCAATAAATGGACTGGGATCTTCTTACAAATATGTGACCATTATTAATCAATCAAAGTTAACATATTGTCAAAAAAGATTTGAATTAGTAGTAATACATGGTAGTGTATGTTTTTTGCTATGTTTATTTTTCATTTTCAATTTTTTAAATATAATAACAGATCTAGATCTAGGATAAAGGTAGTTTTATAGAGCTTTAAATTCTCTATCCTATAGTTTATAAAGTAATTTTTTTATAAATAGAAAATCAGAAAAGAGTTCACTAAGATTTAATGCAATTTATTCTGATATACCCGTTAGACATTAAGATTTTCATGTCAATGACAAAAAAGAATCTTAAGCACATAAGAAAAAGTCAAAAAAGAATGTCTCTGTCAATCATGAGAGGTGACTAAGTAAATTGTAATTAGATACTTAGATTATAAATTTTATAGAAGCAAATCATTTTGTTTGTTTGTTCTTTCGTTTAGTATAGCTTAAAAGTAAATATGAAGTTGTTTTTTTGAATTGTTTTTCAGTTTTTATATTTTAAAGAAAATATTTTCATGTGATCTGATTTTTTCTTCAGCCGATATGAGTTTAATTTCTTCCATTTGTCAACTGCTTTACAAGAGATGCATAATCCGTAAAATCATGAAAGCTCTTTTAAAAAAAAATGAAATTAGTAGTAATTCATTCGATGTCAAGATAATCTTAGATTCTTTGTCATCGTACGTTAAGAAATGTAAAAAAAAAATAAAATAAATAAAACATAAAGTTTATGGGACAACAGAATAAGGAAATAGACGAGGCAAAAAAACCTTTCAAATTAATAAGAAGGTTGTTATGGCGTAGAAAACTAATGAAAAAAGTCACAGTAGGAATATTTGACTAACTTTAATGACAGCACGTACTTTTAGCCTCTTATATCTTTTTCTAAAGTTCTCATTGAAATGAGTTATGGTGTAGAACAATACACTTGATGACTTTTTAGCATAGTATTCAATTCATGATAAAAGAAAAAAATTTCCGAGTTTTAATAAAATTATATCTAAAAAAAGAAAATCATTCAAAATCTTTTATCATGATTTTTTTTAATTATAATTTCTATCGATAAATAATTATATGAAATAATATATCGATCATATTCATAATAAAATGTTAAATATGATCAAATTCAAAAACTTCATTGAATATTTTATTTTGATTTTTAATAAAAAGAAATTCTATATGAGATATTCTTTAAAAACAAATTTATTTTGTTATGTATAGATTTTATAGAATAAGATAATGAATTCGATTATTGACTGATTAAATAAATTAGTTTTACTAAAATCAAATGATCTTTTCGCGTTTATTATATGATATTTTGATCATTATCAAGCTAATTATAAAGTATACTTTATTATTCAATTCATATAGAATGTAAAAAAAAACAACAAGCTTTTTCTTTTCTCCGAATTCAAGAGTTCAACTTGTAAGTACCGCTAATGCATGTCCTCAGGGACAAATATCATAAGACACATGTTAATGTCTTGTGTTTTTTTGATCTATTGCAATTATTTGTATGGAAAATATTCTACGATGAGTCTGGATTTAATTTTTCAAGATTATGAACGTGTTTTTTTTTTATTTCTATTTAATTTATGTGTTCATGATTTTTAAAATCATTCCATAATATAAATAGAATATATATTAAAATTATTTTAATAATTAAAATATGAAATATTGAAATTAGTTCTTATAGAAAAAATAAATTAATTTATTTCTTTAAAACCGAAAAATATTTTTTCAAATAAAACAAGAAAAGAAAAACAAAGTTTCATCTGTTTGTCACGATTTTCAAGTGGATTGATCCCAAAAATTTGTTACATTTTTTTCCATTATACACCAATGTAAAAATAATAACGAAATAAACATATAAATATAAATGATAAACCACAAATAAAAGATTAATTTACATATAGAATAACAATTTGGAATATATTTTCTTTAATTTTTATAAGAAAATATACTATTAGACAACAAAATGAGATCCATTAAAATTTATTAAATTATTTTAATCATGCATTGTTAATGAACGTGTAGTATTTTCAATAAGTGTATCGACCATATCAGAATGTTGAGTACTAGGATTTCTTGCAGTCCATCGAATTAAATTTAAAACATATTGAATAAAAGAATGAAAACATTTAGCAGCTCCTAAAAATCCATATTGATAATTTAAATATTTCCAAAGCATTGATACCAATATATTTTGTGTATGAAATAAAGATATTGTACTTGCCATCGTTGTCATACTTTGGGAATAATCTAATGAAACTATTGAACAATTTTCAGAAAAAGCAGTAATTAAAAGCATTATTTTAACAAGTGTTCTATTTTGTTCTAATGCTGTAATGAATTTTTTTGTCATTAAACAATTTTCATAACCATAAAGATTCTGACAGCCAAACTTATAACTTGAATAATCAAATGCATTTGTTTCGCGAATAAGAAGTAGTGAATTATATGTTCCTAGTGTAAAAGAATTATGTTGAATAAGAGCTCGACGTGCATCTATTGATAAATCATGAAAATAAGGTACACGTTCAAGGAATGATTGTATTGTGGAATAATAATATTCAACTATATCTAATGTTGATTTTGCTTTTGAACGAAGTTTTGGTGGTAATGATGCTTGGTGTTCAAGCATATATTTGGCATGTTCAATTGGATTTTCTCGATCATAAACATGAGTTATATTTGATAAAAGATTCCATTCAATATTGGTTAAGGTTGAACTATCATTTTCAAGAAGATTGAGTGGTGGTGGCTAGAAGAATGACGAATATTTAATTGATAGATAATAAAAATCTAAGAAGAAAAGAAACCTTTGGCAATCGTTGATTTTTATTTTTTAATAATCGATGATGATGATGATGATGATTTTTCGATTTGTAACGTATTAATTTTGGATTCATACCAAATGAAAAACATTTTCTTAGACGACAAGCTGAACAATTACCACGTGTTAATTGTGTTATTTCACAATTATTACCATGTTGACATTGAAGAAAATACTAATTCAAAAAAACAAAACTTGAGGAAAAATATCATATTTATTAAATTTTATTTGAAACTTACTATCGGCTGTAATGCATGACGTCGAAAAAAAGCTTTACATGACATACATGTCATTACTTCAAAATTCATTCCACGTGCTTTATCACCACATATTTGACAAATTAATGGTAAATGCCAACTACGTTTTGTTAATACCATTATTTTAACTATTTATCTATGTAAAGATATTAATCTAGTTTATATATATATATATATATATATTCAAATGTTTATGAAGTATGGAAATATGTGTTGCGTGTAATAATACGAGCAGGAAGAGAGAATATTTCTTTTTCTTTTCTTTTTGTCTTTTCTATTATATAAACTAAAATCTATTCTGTAACATAGTCGCAAAAATAAAAAATAGTCTCTCAAAAAGAGTTTTATCTTAATCCTTGATAAAATGTACTTTCGATGTTTAAATTTAAGAAAGAAAACAACAAGTGATTTCTGCATAATTAGATTTCTCATTATATTGAATACTTTGAAGGCTTCTTTTTTTTTTCTTTTTATATGCGCTTTCCGTAGGTGTTTAACGATCAAATAAAAGAAGTTTTATACGATGTGAACCATTTATATTATATTCAAGAAATTGATATATATGAAAAATCATACTCAGTTCTTTTTTTTCTAAGAACATTAAAATCAATAATTACAGTTAGGTATACAGAAAATATGGGCGAATATTATACTTATAAATAAAACATTAATATATTCCATTATAATAAAAATAAAAAGAATTTTTTAAAATTAATATGTCACGAAGTAGACATGCTTGCTCTTCTACGACTTTCAAATTTTTATATAATTGTCTTTTTACCGAGACTGCTATAACTTCATTAGATATACATAAGACAGATACGCACCTCATTACCTCTAATGCGCATAATTAAATTTTTCTCATGCTATCCATTTATAGAAACTTAAGTTGTTGTCGACTATGGTCGAGTAATATTTAGCATTTTTATGCTGCATAATACGAGAACTATATCACAGACAGTTACTCAAAGCAAGTTCTGTCTTACATTTATTTTTCTGAATAAATTCTTTTTAATAAATAAATTTATATTGTTCAAAATTCTATTCATTAGAAAGAGAATGTTATTAATTATATGAGTACCTATTTTGATTAAAAAAGTATTTGTGATTTCAACGGGAAGAAATGAATATTAGTTCAATTCATTGAACTAGAACTATTACATGTCTAACTATTATTTATCAATGATCGTGATAGAAAAAGATAAATGAAAATTTTTTCTAGCGAAATAATGACTTATAAAAATATAAGCAAAAAATGTTTTAGTTTAGTTTTATAATCAGGTTAAATATATTACCCGATTCAAATTTAATATGAAATGTCATACTCAGATAAACACAACAAAAATCTCAAAATTTTTTTTATTTTCTCGATTAAAGAAAAAAAACAACATCATAAACTTCTCAAGCACCGAAAAAAACCTCAGTTTACTAAATGATCAAATTTAAGAATCATCGGTTGATTGATATGGGCACCTAAGGAATAAATAAAGATATAAATATAATTCAATATAAATTCTCAAATCATACCAAAAGAAAAACAATTTCCACCGCCTCCTAATATAAGAAATGTTGTTTTATTCAAAAGTACTGTTTGATGATTATAAAGTATAATCGGTTGTTCATTACACATTGTCTAAACAATGAAGAAAACAAATATTGATTTGCGTATAATTTACATAATTAAATTTTTCTATTACCGGTATTATATACTCGATAGCTTCACCAGTTATTAAATTAATTTTACATAAACCTGGTGGTCTACGTTCATTAGCATTCATTCCACCTAATAACCAAAGTGTATCATCAATAATCTCTGCACTATGTGAATATCTTAAAAATAAAAATAGAATGAATAAAATATTTTTAAAAATAATTACTCCTTTATACCTTGGTATAATTATTCCATTTGTTTGAAATAATGTCCAATTCATAATATCTTTAGATGTATCTAATAACCAAATTTCATTCGTTGGTTCATCATTTTCTAATAAACCACCAGAAAGAACAGCTAAATGTTTATAAGCATTTAAACGAGCTGAATGTCGATTTGTTGGTTTTGTTTGTGAAAACTAAATAACATTTTAAATATATATATATAAAATTTCTATAAGAAAGTAAACAAAACTACTTGAGATTGTATGAGTTGACCATTCGATTGTAAACAAAGTATATCATTTGTTGATTTTGATATATTTATACAACCACCAAATATAATTATTGTATTTGTTTCTTTTATATAACAAGAACAATGACGCCATCGTCGAAGTATTTTTTCATCCTCATTGAAATTTGTAACTTGAAGAGCTAATTTTGAAAAAAAAAAACAAACAAATTCTAATTTAGTTTTGAAAAGAAAAATCTTTATGATACGACATACTGTTTATATCAATTGAAGTATATGAATTTAATGTTCCAGGACTTTTACGACCAAAAAATGAGAATATTAAATTATCTGATTGATGACATGTATGAAAAACGTGTTCACCTATAATTTATTAAAATATATGATTAGATTATTTTGATCTTTTGATGATTAATAGATAATTTATATTTGAATTAATTCAAATATTAAGATTTAGATAAAAAGATATTTTTACATAACATTGATCAATTGAAGATAAAATATTATTGATAAATTTTCACTATAAACTAAATGCAAATTCAATTATTTTTATTAGTGTGTAGAATAAAATTTTTTTATTGATAATATTTTCGAGAAATATAACTGACAAGAGAAACATTGTAACTGATCAGACCATGAGCAAATCTCAAATCATGATTAACTTTTACTAAACTTCTGACGGGTGGTTTCTGATTTTTTTTTTGGCAAAAAACAGAAAACTAGAAGTCAGAGATAAAAATCGAGAAATATTATTTCGCTGACACATGTACTTGCCCAGATACGGTGACAGAGACTGTTCTTTTAACTCCCAATGACGTACTCTTACGATCACCCTCCGCCTTAGCACCACCCTCATACTTACCTTTGCATACACCCTTACTCTCACTCATACTTACATCCACACCCGCAAAACGATTCTTGAATTAGATGGATTAGACGGATTTTTAATAACTGATGATAATGAATCTTTTGAAGACATTTTATCAGTTATTACTAAAATCTGAATTGATTTACTACTTTTGACTATTACAATAGACAGAATTGCCTCTTTTGTTTCTTTCCATGTTCTCAAAATCGATTTAATTTTGGTGATTAATCGTGATTGATCAACGATTTTTCGGATATTATAGTAAATCGCGATAAATCGTCGATTTTGCAACGAACTTCAACAGTAAGTATTTATTCAAAAACTTTTTCTTCACTTATTTAGATCGATCTCAAGACCACAATGAACAGTAAACATTATTGTATAAAAAAAAACTACTGTTTTTTTTTTATTATTTATGGTACATTAGAGAGAACAAAATCATTTCTCTTCTCATTTATGATAAAATTTTATGAGTAAGCTGACGAAAGACGGTCGTATACCCTATAACATCGCCAATTTTTGCGTGATTTTGGTTACATAAGTTTCTTTATTCATTATTATTCATTTTACTGTGCTCTAATGGCTACAATACAGAGTAACTTATAAAACAGAAGAAAATTTTACTTTCGTTAACCATACTGAAATAGACAAGAACATCATCTATATGAAAAAATACAAATATCTCTCCTTATTAAAAAAAAAATGTTTGGCGAAGTAGCTGTTTGTTCCATGTAGAACCTATCGAAGTCAAAATTTTCAAACTCAGACGTGGTCGAACCGTACTTTGATACTTTCAATGAAATTTTCTAATCGAAATAGGGTAGCTACCTCGATGACACGAGATACTCTTTTTCCGGCGCTTTGTATTCGGTGACTAGTGCGTCCTATACATTTCTCAGACGAGTCATTTGAGAAATTTGGATGCTAGAGTCCATGGATTCCTAAGTTTTCAGAGCAGGACATGGCCGGGTCCGGGACCAACCTCACGAGCTCTAGTCTCATGAGATGTTTATCAAAAAATTTACGTTCCATCATTCCCATGGGATAGGATGGGACTGTCCTATCCAATGTAGGGTCGAGAGGGTGGCGTTTCACCAAAGATCGGATTGATCCTCTCGAAGCTTATAGTTCTTGTGCCATGTACTATGTGTCTATACTCTCAATAATAGATTTTCGTCCTCCTAGAGTTTTAAATCGCCTATCTGGAAGAGAAAACTTGGATAAAATACTAGTCTGATCTCATGCAGAGCTCTGATTTCTATCATATGACATTTTGTTTTAGTTCTTGTTTATTATTCTTACCAAGTAAGTGATTATCTAATCTTTGAATTTCTCCATTATCAATATTTAATACTTCAATAGTTTTTAATCTTCTATGTCTTCCATCAACAGTTCCAAAACCTCCAATAGTCCAAACATATTTTTCATTAATTAATATTGATTGATGTCCAAAGCGTTGTGCATAAGTCATAGTTGTTGGATAACTTTCAAATTGAATATTAGGTTTAATTTGTTCATCATTTAGATTATTATTATTATTATTATTAATTAAATTTTCTTTTTTTACATAAATAATTGTTATAAAATCTTTATTCATTTGTTCAAACCATTGTTTTGATATATTCGATGGTGTTTTTAAACCAAATAAAAGTATATAATGAGCACATTTTGATTGCCATTCTTCAATTTCATCAAAAGGTTCTAATGTATCAATACGATTATGTTCATCAATTGGTAAATAATTTCGATAAAAATTATGCATATTTACACAAAGTGAAACATCAAAACCCTAAAATAAAAAAAGTTAATTTTATTCAATTTTTTTTACTATTCATATTACTAAATGAGTATAACGTTGAACTTGTGATTCACTTGTTGGATATTGATGAATACACTTTAATGGTGAACCTAATTTAGCAAAATGTGCAACCATAACTTGACCAAAACCATCATCTGGTAAAACCTATGAATTAATATTGAATTAGATTGAAAAAAAAAACAATCAATTATTTCTGTAGAAAATAAAAATCAAATACTTGTTCATAAGTACATAAAATACATTCTTGAAAAAAATCAAGTATCCATTGTATAACACGATTACAACTTGATCGACCCATATATGTTAAAACAACTTCACTTATTAATAAAGTTGGTTTTGTTTCATCAACTTTAACTGTTTGTAAAAGTGTATTTAGAGTTAAAGGATCTCGCATATCAACACCAATTAATGAATATTTTTCATTTGTTACAGCTGAAAAAAAAACATACAAGAAAAGGCTGTTAACATAGTTCCGGTGAAATTAAAATGTGAAACACGATATAGTTAGTGTTGTTAATCATTTATTCGATATATTCTGCGAAACATTTCTTCGTCATTCTTTTATTTAACCCTCCAGAAATGCAATAAGGAAGTAGTTCATACATGATATTGAGACATTATTGATAAACAGTCTGTGACGTGGGGATGAGGGAGAGTTGCTAAGGTTCCTGTCGTGGTCGAACCGTACTTTGATACTGTCAATGAAATTTTCTAATCAGAATTAGATAATTGCCCAGAAGATACGAGATACTTCTTCTGGTTTTCTGCATTCAGTGACTAGAGCACTCTACATATTTCTCAGACGACTACAACCGATCGAGTCCAAGTTTTTCTGGATCCGACAAGGTCTAGAGAGTGAAATGTTGCTAAGGCATCTGCCATGATCTGTGGTAATGTCTGTCATGGTTTGTTGGGGGTGCAAATTTCTACTTCGACACTCATTTTAGATCATGTTTCACAAAAAAAAACAATTTATTAAATACGAGTTTTTGTTTAATTACCGAAATTTTCTAATGAACTATATGTATGAATTGGTTCGAATTGTTCATTTAAACGAGAACGAACTTCTATTAATGCTAATTTACGTTGCATGACTTCAGGGAAATCAATCTAGATATAGAAAATTCAGCAACTATGTTTTTCATATGAAATATATATATATATTTACATCAATAAAATGTGTTCGTTGTTTTCGTTCGTCATCTAATCGAAACCAAGTTGCATCAAATCCAGCACCTAAATTAACAATCTACATCGGAAAATATGAGTACAGACGAATAATTTAATTTTTTACAATATGTGTCATAAATCGAGAAAATTTATTTTATTTTCTAATAAAATTTAATATTGTATATATCAAAGTAATACTAGTAACGAGTAATTTGATAAAATATTCGTTGATTTTTTTTTAAAAATCTGTTAAAGAAGTCTGCAGACATTTGAAAACATTGAATGACAATCAAAACTTTGCATTCTTTTCGAATAAGGCTTCAGAGATTTTTTTTGTAGAATTTCTGGTTTAAGAATTATGAAGCGACTTTTTTTTTCAAGTCTGTAAATAGAGTTTGGACTAGCTTCAGCACGCCAAAACTAACCCAAAGTAGAAACGAAAATTATTTCAAATATAATGAATGAAAGGTTAAACATTTTTTTCTATAAAATAGTATATTAATGATTAGTTTGCTGCATGTCATTTGTCAACATTGTGTATTTCTAGTAAAACTATACCGTCTCAATTTAACCAATTTCCATCGAAAACAGACTTACAAAGTGAGCTCGATCATTCTTGAATAATTGTTCTGAAATTCTTGATTCTTATATCACTCTATAGAAAACAATCCATAGTTTTAATCCTATGATAAAATAAATCGGTAGCTGTTCTAAAAATTCGACTCATAATTTATAAATTATAAGTCCTAGAGAAATCTTGGACCTATATTCGGAAACAATACTAATGGCTTCAAATATCTGCAGTCTCCTTTTGAGAGACTGACCAATGAACAAATATTTTATCAAATTACTTTTTCCATAACCCGTTCTGTTGAATTTGATTTTTGTTTGTTCTATAGAAAAAAATTCTTTGAGAAATATTTCCATTTTCTATACGAGATTCAGTCAATATAAAATTACATTGTTTATTTAAACATTAAATCGACGTTCTAAGATGATTAGACAATCGAAAATGTAGAAAAAAATATTAGACATATTCAAGTCAAATTTAAGTTCTCACTGCCAAACTAATAATTTTAAAATATGAGCTACTTATGACGTGCATCGAGCGAGATAATGAAATTTTTATTTATTTACAGTATATACAAGATACTTACAAGTAGTGGTGTAATCCATAATTGGCTAGACTGGACGGTGCCCTACCATTAGAAGATACAAAAAAAACCGTGATAATTACCATCATTGACATTATATTGCATGGATTTTTCTCAAAATCATAGGATACTACTCTACCATCTACGATCTTCTGGTTATGCCACTATCTCATAATGGTTGGATAGAGTTCGTGGAGTTGCATAAGGAAAAAGTGTATTTTAGACTTAAAAACAAATTTCAAAAGATTTTACAAAAATCAAAACTTTTCAGTCTATTTTCTTTATATTTGAAGATAATGATACTTTGAATCTTTTTCATTAGTTTTTGTTTTAAATTTTCTTTTAGATTTGAGACACATTTTTTCTTATGCCACTCGACGAGCTCTATCCAATCATCATGAAAAAAAAAAGAAAAATAAATAGCGTTAAACTTTTGAATTGTGGATAGTGACGTAACCAGAAAATCGTGAGTGATAGAACGGTACCCTACGATCTTGAGGAAAATCCATGCAATATAGTGTTAATGATAGTAATTATTACGACATTTTTTTTAATCTCCTGATGATAGGATCTCACCCAGACTAGCCCACCCTGGATTACACCACTACTTATCGGTATCTTACATGCACTGTAAATTCTTAAAAAATTCAATATCTTGCTCAGTGCACGTCATGGACAGCTCATATTTTTAATTTGTTAATTTAACCTGAATATGCCTAATGTTTTTTAGCTAACAGTATAAAACCTTCCATTATTAGTTTAAGTCTAATTACAGAAGTTCTTTCGAGTAACAATAATGTCTACTAACAAACGATACATTGTACTCCTTACTTGAGAAAAAATTTCAATTTAGGAAACGTGCAAAAGCATCATATTTATTATTTTTTCAAAGATTTACCTGTACTTCTTTTTGATCATAAACTGTATAAAACATATTTAAAGCATATTCTAATGCTTTCATTCTAATGTAATAACCTCTAAAAAATTCAAAATAAATCAAAACAAAAAAATATTTTCATTACAAACCGATTGATTGATGGTGAACGTCTTACATCTTTATCAACAAATTCTCGAAGAAATAAATCATTAAAATACCCAAGTTTAACCATTGATACTTTTGATAAGATACTTGAGTCATTGGTACCTTGAACCTTGAAACAAAAAGCAAACAAAACATTAGACTGTATATTCATCGATTTAATAAGTGTGCGACATATGTTAAGAAAAAAAAAAGAAGACATATCAATTGAAACAAAACTTACAGCTACATCATTTCTTGCTTTTCGACTTTTTCTTTGATTAATACGAAAAGCTTCTTCCATCTAGAAAAAAAAGGAGAAAAGAAAAAAAAATATCCAAATATACTTGACGACAATAATGATGAAAAGAAAATAATCGAATAACAGAATAACAAACGAAACATTCACATATATATATTTTTTTTTTTAAACAAGAATAAATAATAAAAAAAGACAAAGGATATATATGTATATGACATAAATGATAATAATAATAATAAAACAAAATCTTATTTAGATTAGAATATAAATATATATAATATATAAATATATTGTTGTAGTTAAACCAAAGTAAATATTAATGTTCTATTATATTTATTTATGCTTTTTGACGTTTGCAATGTACAACAGAAGTTGTTGTGGAATCAACAGATGTATTACTTTCAACAGTACATGTACGAATTAATGGAATTTCTTGTCCATTCATTGTTTTCATAGCAATATCAGCATTACGTTCATCACTGAACATAATATAACATAATTGTGAATTTATCGAACGAACATCTATTAAATTACCAAATCGATTAAATATATTACGAATAAAATCTTCAGATATAGAATGTTGAGGTATAATGTGTAAGATTTTGGCAACCTAAGATAAATATTTTATTTTAAATATTTTCTATATTTAAAAAATACAATGAAATTTATGATTCTAAAGATCATTGAAAAAGTTCTTATTGAATTTTCTATTACAATTTGATTATGGATGAGATCAATAATTCATCTAATTATTCTGAAAAAAGATTTTTCAACAATGATCTATAGTTATAACTATTTCTGTCTCTTGATTGATGTTATTATTGTTTGAAACTTACCACTGAAGTCTTCTAACTGATTAATTGCTTTTCAATCGAAACTCTATGCATTATGTAAACCCTAATGAACTATGCATATCCTGAAACAAAGTTTAGAGTCGTTAACTTATTGTTGTTGAGATATCGTATTTTGACAGCAATAAGATAAATGTCTGCAATCTTTTCAAAATATAATTCAAATCCACCATGTAATCGATTCATATTATTGTCTATCTAATAATTTAATAATCATGCCTATTTTTCGAATAACCTTCGTTAGTACGAAGAAGAAGAAGAGAGAGACGTATGATTTGTCATCATTCAAACTTGTACATCAGGGTCATAGAAGTAGGTCAAATTTTATTGGTTAAGCGATTAACTAATCAGACAAAATTTCCAAAGATATTTTAACATGGAATATTCGGAATGCATTCTGAATTCCTTTTTCGGGTTTGACATGGCCGTTCGGTACAAAAAATTGTGCTTGTTAATCCACGTAAAGTTGGCATTTCTAGCTTGCTTCGTTTACGAACTATAAAGGTTTTTCTGAAAGCCCTGATTTTGACCAATTGATCGGTGATCATCCGAAATATTGATCTAAAGAGAAGTACCTTACCATGATGAGTTTAATGGGTATATTTTTATTTGGTTTCAAAGCGATTTAAAAGCACTATCAAGATTTTTTAAATTCCAAATTTTCGAGTTATATAGCAAAAACCTTCGATATTTCAGAAATTTCGATATATCGGTTTTAAATCACTTTGAAACTAAAAATAAACATCACCGCTAGACTCAACATGATCAGTTACTTCTCTTTAGACTACTATTTTGGATGATATCAGGTCAAATGGTCGATATCAGGAGTCTCAGAAAAATCTTTATAACTCGTAAACGAAATGAGATAGAAATGTCAGCTTTGGATAGATCGAATGAGCACAATTTTTTGCTACTGAACGGTTATGTTAAAACCAAAAATTAAATGAAAAATGCGTTCAAAATATTTCTTATCAAAAATCTCTGTAGAAAATTTTATTTGATTGGTCAATTGCTAAGTCAATCAAATTTGATATATTTCTATGACTTCCCAACGTCCTCTTTTGAATGACGACAAACCGCAGATCTTTATCTTTTTCCTAGTAAAACTTATTCAAAAAAAATATGCACGATCATTATATTATTAGACAGACAGCTATTCTATACATCTTAGAGTAGTACAATAAAAGCTCCACTAGTGAACACCTCCTAATTATGAACGATCTCGCTCAAGTCCGACGGAGTGATGTCTGCTGTAAATATCTCTATCTAATTTGAATATCTACTTACTTTGGACAGCAAAAAACTTTTTATGCAGCTCCCTCTACGATTATACCTTCTCTAATGTGAACATATTTTTTGCCCTCTTTCTCTTTTTTGTCACCTGTCGCACATGCACTCCGAGTGCATTTTTATTTATGATTCGATAGCTGTACATGTCAAATAAAGCATGACATGACAAGGCAAGCTTACTTTGCATGTAAAAATACTGTTAATTCGTGATAATATAGATGACAATGATTCATCACAATGTAAATAGACTAATAAAAGATTATAATATATTACTTAGTTCTGTATCAGAATTAAAATGTTAGACGAAAAATACAAGGTGTGAATGTACCAAAAAAAAAACAAGAAAGAATTAGTTCAAAAAAACAAAGACAAATAACATTAGAGAATTTTTCTTTAAAACCATTTAAATTTTGTTTTCTACTCACAAAAAAAAAAGAATGAATAATCAGATCTTCATCTATGACTAATATAGAAGTGAATTTTCTCGAAGGTTTTCTTCATTTCACAGTAAATCATGTTTCAACTATTTAAACTAAACATTTTTGAATGGTTCTGATGGTTATCATAATAGAAGAATTTTACTGATACCATGTTATCGTTTCTTTAACATGATAAATTTTTCTTTTTATTCATAAATCGTTTTCTGATGCATCAAATGAAGCATACTTTTGTTTTAGTGATAATATAACATTACAATAATCTATATATTCTTCTTGACTTCCTTGTAAATTATTCATCTTCAAAAGAAAAAAAATCGATATATTTTTTAAGAAAAATTCAAAAAATACTTGATGAATTAATTGACCAATTCTTGATGTATCTTCATTTTGTGATTGATTTATTAAATCATTAATAATTCTAAAATTCATCAAAAACAAAAAACAACAAATAACTAAATAATTCGATAGATAATTTGTTTATTTTTTTACTTTTCATCTTAATTTTGTACTGATAAAATTTCATCATCAGGAAATTGAAATGCATGCAATTTTTTACGTATATACGTTGCATATTGACAAGATTTATAACGTATAATAAAATAATCTAAGAAAAAAAAAAAACAAATTCTTAAATATAATGTAAATATTTTCGTTATTAAATCGACTCTATTAAGATTAGATAAAGCCTTAAAGGACTTGTACCCATAGGTCTCTCTTTTTGAATTAAGTATATTTTAGTGAATTCGCCTTGTGATCCGCCTCAGATCATCTTCAACAATTGAATTTTGTATAACACATTTTTCAAGATTAATATTTGATGATAGGAGCAGGAATGTACCAAGGTCGCTAGGATTGGAGGGAAACGATGACTCAGGAAACCAATTAGAAGATTTTTGCTGAAATTGATCAGATTCGAGGGTGGAGGGTCGAGTGATTTTTCATATGAATACAAATCTTTTTAGAATTTGTCTAATTTTAAAAGAGTTTACTTAATAAAAGAAGTCTCATTTCCAAAGGAATTTCTCTACTTGTTAAGGTTCTCTCGTGAATATGACCTTTTCTTTTTTTTTTCTTCCATTTTTCTATTTTATTCAGTAAAAAGTAATCTATCAATATTCTCGCGCAATATGACGAACGACAATTGGCTCCTCTACATAAATAACTATACGCAATTATATACATGCGGTGCATCGATCAGTGGTCGCAATGACCTATTTGTTGCAATCAATAACACAAGTAGGACGATTGAATAGAAAAAATCAAAATATTGTAAAAGCTATATTATTATATTTCTGTGTAAAAGACAAATTTTACATATAAGTAGATAAATTAGTAATAAATTTATAACATTTACTCCTCTAAACGCTACTCACGTCTCAGTTATGTCCTAATGGCAATTCTTAGAAATTCATTAACAACAAAAATAACATATAATATGTGTATGTTTTTCTGTAGACATTAGTTTCATCATTTTACTTTAAGGTGACAACTGCCCCAAGAGGAAAAAGTAAGACTTAAGTAGCTCGAAGTATGATAACCTCGAAGTATTGAAGTCTTTTTTTTTTCTATTGAGTATATAACAATTTTGAAACTTTCACTTTATTAAAGTTATGTTTAATTTTAAAAATGAAAAAGAACAATATTCATTGAACAATACAGATAAATTTATACAGAATTTCATCATGATTTAAAAAATTTGTTTCAAAATGATGAAAACATCTGATATCAACGAAAAGTGCCCTTCTTTATGATTTACTTCATACTAATAACAATTGTAAATATAAAACTAGCTTCTCTGAAATTTCAATGAATTTGAAAATGATGAAAACTATTTAAAATCAACTATGAAACAAATATAATATTCATATTATATCTTTTTTTTTCTTGGTAGAAAATATTCTACAACTATTTTAATAAAAAAAACTTTCAAAATAGATTAAATATAATACAGAACGCTTCAATAATCGTGCAGACATAGTTCTATGGTGATAGATCGGAAAATATCAGGAAATTAGTATCGCTACGAGGTCTCTGCATCGATTCATTTTCAAGCATTTGGAATACATATTAAATATTCATAATAAACTCATACGATATATCTTAATGTTATACAGTAAAGTTCAAGTTTGACAGTATAATATAAAAGATTTCCCATCGAGAAAATTAAATTTTTAAAAACATGATTTTATTGAAAAATATTGTTGGATAAAATGCGCAAAACTCTCTATCAATAACCAATTGAAAACAATACAATAATTCGAATGATTCAAGAAATTAATGAACACATTTTGCTCCTAACCAGGAAAGTTCTTCAGTTGTTCTTAACTTACTGCCGCAGAGATAACCTACTTTTACGATAATTTTTAAATAAATGTCATGTTTCCCTTTAGGAACACTAGAAAAAATAATTTTCGAATTTTGACCAGAAACTTTGCTTAGAGACAAACCTTAATGAGAAATAGTTTATTGAGAATATTTCAGATCTTGATGCTGTTCCTAGTTTAAGATACAGCATGTCTTTTACATCGCTCATATAAACCGACAGATTGAAAGTTCTTTTTTTCAGAATAGAAGCAAATCAAAAGACACAAAACTTTCATCATAAACTACTCTCGTTAAATCCTGTCTATATGCAAAATTTCCAAGGGGGTTAGTACCAGAAGATGATTTATAAACAAGTAAATCTTTCTTTGTTAACAAAATGCTCTCTATAACTAAATGAAAACTTTTCATTTATTAAGCATTGTGTGATAGGGGAAAGTGAACAATAAGAAATAACTGCAGGATGACTTTTTTTTTCTGAAAGTAGCCATTAAATAAGTGAAACTTTGATCCTTTACTTATTCATGTATGCGGAGGGAGCAAAATATTGGTCAAGAAAAGGTTCGAGTTTGGATCATCACCACCTTCCTAACCACAACACATAGTTCATATCGGTCTACATAATGCACATAATCTCGGCTCAAAAGTGATTTATCAGTTGAAGGATTTTCCCTGTGCGACATTCTCTCTTCGTTGATATATTTTAAAAAAAGAGATAAATATTAATTATCCTTATTTATAACTTACGTTCATTAAATATATTTATATTAATTGGCGAGTATTCTTCCATATTTGGTATAAGATCAAATAATTTTGATATATGATATTTAGTTATTGTCATTTCACAACGAACAATTAAACGACGTTCATTATTAATTTCTAGTAAATGATAACTATTAGTCATTAATGAATGTGTTAATGATTAATCTAAACCAAAAAAGAATGAAATTTAAATTTAATCGAATAAAGAAAAAAAACAAACTTGATTCAATATTAGATAATGAACATGTTGATAGTGGTAAATATTGTTTAGTTGATGAAATTTTTTGACGATACAGAGGTGAAATGGCATCATAAATTGAAGCTGGTGTTGGTAATGTATCTTCATTATCACAATGATGTTTTGATGAAAATGGTTCAGCAAATTTTGGTTTATAATCTATGAAATTATTGCTTAATATTCAATAATTTTATATGATTTTTTTTTTGTCTTTATTAATTTATTTGGATCATATTCTTCAAGTACATAAGCTGCTTTAGATGCTTTTGAAAATCATATATACTCAAAACCTTTATTTTCACCTGTTAATTTATCTTTAATAACTTTTATATTAATTATTGAACCATATTTCTAAATTTAAAAAAAATAAAAAATATAATTATTAATTTTCTTCCTTTCTTATAATTAAATTAATAATTACTTGAAAAACTTTATGTAAATCATTTTTTGTCATATGTTTTCATGTTCATCTGGATCACGTGCACCACCTTCACGATGTGTACTGGATATAACAGCCTGTTTAGTATATAAATAATAATAAAATATAATCGACAAAAAAAAGAAGAAACTACAGACTTTTAATGGGCGAATATGTGGAGTAATAACTGTTCCATTCATTTTTTCCATAGCATGAGCAAGCTGCTGAGGCTTTTTCATATTTAATAGATGCAATACCTAATAGAAATATGATTAATTTAAGTAAATTAATATTTGAAATTGAATTTAAATCTTTGTTTTCTTGACTACATCAATCTCATATCATATGAATGTCTTGAATATTACCATGAATTTCAAATGCATTTCGTAATTCATCTTCTGACATAATTTTTGGTATAAAGTAAAGAAATGTCGACTAAATAGTGAATCATCAATATCAGCTGTTTTATTAAATAATGTTGATAATTGTTGACGTTTTTTATATGATGATGATATTGATTTATTTGATAAATCACTTTGATCTTCTGATGAAACATCTCGGTTTCGATTCCAATTGTTCATCATAAAACTAATTGTTTTAGTACCTACATATAATATAACATAACGAGAAGTACAATCAATCGATCAATTTTTGTTCGATAATATTAACTACCTATTAAAGATTGTTTTTGTTTAAAAGATGGCGCTATTATTCATTCTTTTAGTTAAAAAATCAGGGGCGGTGCGATCGGGGGATGGGGGAGAGGTTACCCTCCCCTGCTCTAGAAAATTTTGGTTGAGACTTTCTCCGAATTTGAAAATTTTGGAGATCAATTTTCTTCGAATTTGGAAAATTTAATAGGCAACTTTCTCCAATTTTGGAGAAATATACTTGACAATTTTCTGTAAAGTAGGAAAAAATCCTATTTCGGAGAACACTTTTAAGCATTTTTCCCTGATTTTGAAGAAATGTGCTATACAAATTTTTCAAAAATTGGAGAACACTGTTTAATAACGTTCTTCGAAATTGGATTTTCTCCGTTTTTGGAGAAATACGTTAGTATTTTTCTAAATTAAAAGAGAATTCAAGTTTCGAGAACAGCTTTGAGCGATTTTATTCGATTTTGTAGAAATATATTATACAATTTTCTCTAATTCAGAGAAAACTTCAGTTTGGAGAATAATTTTTGACTTTCTCAGATTTTAGGACTGACCTCCCTGCTCTGATCTCTTCACGCCGCTCCTGTAAAAAATACTTCTTTTTCTTGTTATATCTATGTATTTATTTCATGGTTGTAAGTTCTCGATCTTCAATTTTGCATTAACGATGTGAATTAGATATATTTGGAAAATTTTTAATAAAATTTCTATTTTACTGTCATTCTCATACTTGCAGATAAGGAACTGATCATATAATTGTCAAATTCAAATTATCGAAGTTGACTTACCATGTATTCAAAAAATTGTACGAACTTAAACAAAAATCTTCTGAGTCTTACGAGGGAAATTTCCCCACTGATTAATCGCTTTTCAGTCGAGAGTATGTACATCATGTAGACCCTAATGAGTTATGATTATTCTGAGACGCAAGCTCGAGTTCTTAGCTTATTGCTAACGAGATATTGCATTTTTACGATATTTTTCAAGACAATGCCATGCTTCATCTCAGAAACATTTCGATTTGACGCTTTCCATAGAAACAGAACTTAATAAGAATAGTTTGTTTGTGAAACTTTCAGATGATTTCGTTGTTCCTGTCACAAGAATACACCTATGATAAGAGATTGTCTTTTACACTGCTCATATACATCGACAGATTTTATGTTCTCATTTCAGAAAAGGAGAAAATCAAAAGACCTCAAACTTTTATAATAAATTATTCTTGTTAAAATCTGTCTCTGTGCAAAGTTTCAAATCGAAATATTTCTGAGGGGAAGCATGGAATTAACTTAAAAAATACTGTAAAAATGTTGCATCTGAGCAGAAATAAACGAAGGACTTTGAACTTTTGTCACAGTACTCGTAATTCATTAAGATCTACATGATGCATATAATCCAAACTGTAAAGCGATTAATCAGTTGAGGGACTTCCCTCGTTAGAAACAAAAATCAAATTAGAAAAAACTATTATCGGAACTGAAAAATGATGGTTCTGTCGATTTCTTTTGACATCACAGACTTTAATGGATAGAAATGATCGTTGTGATTAGAGATGTGCGAGACTGAGATTACGAGAAAAAAATTTGCTGGAACCGAAAGTCAAGTTTATAGTAAAATATTCTATGATTGCAAGCAAATTATATTATAAATCATATGAATTAGGACATAGATCAAGAAAGATGACTCAAAAAAGTACTAGCCATCGGTTAAATAAATCAAACAAATGAGTATTGAGGAATCTTTTTTTGTAGATCTGATGAAAATAAATTCTGGAATGGTTTTTTCTAGACTGGAATCAGTAGCCGTGCTTGAACCATATTTTCTCTTTCCGAAGGGCAAACACATGCTTCTGGGAGTACAGACACATAACATATGATACAATCACTACATACTCTGAAATGGCCAACCCGATTTTCAGAGGGACGTCGCCCATCGCGCTGGATAAAATACTGATGATATCTCAATGTAAATCTTTGATTTACATTGAAGAATAACTTCTAATTTTTATTTCATAGGCATTCAATACAAACTTTTGCAATTTTATTTATTTAAAAATATATAAAATAATGTCAGAAAAAGAAATCGTTTCTCATAAGAAAAAAAAACATTCAAGTATACCAAGTAGTATACGGTTTTGTCGGTTTGAATTGTCGTTGAAAATATGTTACTGTCCAACCGATTTCACCTGGATATGCAGCACGACGAACTGGTGGATCTATGAGATATCCTCTTCAATTCAAACAGGAAAAAAAAGAACATTTTTAATTAGATAAACATTCCTTAGAAATATATTACCTTGTTAAATAACCGAGATCAAGTGAACGAAGTGTCGATGCTTGACCTTCACCAATATCTCCAATAAGTTCTCGTGATGGATAACGTTGATCCCATAAAGCATTAGGACCTATAAATTCATAAATTTATTGATTAAACTAAGAACAATGCCAAAAATAATTCTACCTGAAAATATTGTATTAGTAGGTCGAGGTCGATCAAAAAAAAGATCAGAAGACGTTCGTTTAAGCGGTCTTCCTCCCCAAAAATCAAATGTCCGAGCTATTTGTGCTTGTTGTTTCGACATTTGAATTTTTCTTTTTTATTCGATGTTTCAATCACTTCTACACTCTTTCGATAAGTGTTGCTTTGAAAACAATACAATCATATTCTTTTTTGTTTTTTTATTTCTTCCAAAATACAAATGTAACAATTTCAATTATCACTAACGACATATTTTGTTTTGGTTGCGTGTTAGCTTTTTTTTTTTGTGTTACAAAACATGAATATGTTGAAAAGTATAACAACAAAGTTATTATGATTATTATTAGTTTATTGATGACTTCTTTATTTTAATAATTGTTCATAAGAAATTTTTCAGACATCTAATAAATTTATGCTAATTTTTTTTCTTTGTCTAAATAAAACTTTAAGAAAAAAATGAAGCAGAATGTTGATTAAATAAATTAATATTAAAAAATTTTCTTTGTTTCTTGTTTAAATAAAATGTTAAATAACATTTGGATGAAGAGCACAAAAAACGCCGATATTTTTCCACACACAACTATTTCAGCATGTCGACCAGAAAAAAATGCACTATCTAAAAAAAATAAAAAAAAACAAAATTTCATCATGTTGTTTTTTTTATTAATACCTTCGCATTGATTATTTAAATAATAGTCTAGATCATTTTTTTTATTTTTATTATACGAAACTTTAACTAATGTCATAATTCGATCGAGTAAACCATGAATTGTTTTAAAATCTCGTGTATGATTATAATATATTGTACATAAATGTCGTTCATTTCGACTACCAATAAAGGAAAAAAAATAAGAAATGCTTTTTCTTTTTGTTTTATAAAATAAAACAAACCTTGTGACAAATCTTTGAGAATAACATCAGATACTTCGAAAAGTTGAATGGGTAATGTAGTATCTTGATAATTTGCAATAGTTTTTAATAAGCCTAGTAAAACTGATGTTCGATCAGTCTAAAAATTGATTTAATCTGTTAGATCATGATGTGAACAAGATAAGTAAAATAGAGAATTTAAATACTAATCGTTGGTTTTTGTAAAGGAAATCGAAATTCTCAATTTTGTTACATCAAAGAAAAACAACAGCAGAGATTTCGATTTCGAAATCCGCTGTTTTTCCTTCGTGTTGCAGTTACAGATGAAGAAACAATGCACAAATTTAAACAAAAATTTTATATAAATACTTCTAAATCATATACAGTGCCACTCAAAATTGATTGCACATCTAATTAATACCCTTGCTTTTCTAATGGTGAATGGACCAAAAGTTTTCAGACAAAATATTTGTTTATTTTTGGTTCCCTTGATCGGGTTCCCAAGAAATAGAGTTCATTGGGTCCGAGATCAACTCGACAGGCTCTATCGAAGAGAGTCAACAGTTATGGATTAGTACGAGAATATTGTGCATTTTTCGAATATAGCCTTAAAAATTTTATCTCAGTTTTTGTTCGAGAATAGTGAAGGAGTTTTATAAAAATTCAAAAAATTAGATTGAATGATGAACCGATAGGCTTTTACTAACCTCTATAAGTTCTTTTTCGAAAGTACCCAAAAATATTCAAGTCCGTTGTTTTGACACTTCTTCATAAAATTTTATATTGAACTAATCGGTAGCTTTTACCTAAGTGAAATTGTAGGCATTTTTCTAAGAGCTTCTTTCTATACAAAATATTTTTTGATCAAAAAGTCGATTTTCCAAAGATGAGGATTTAAGAGAAAACGAAAATTGAAGTGACTTGTAAAAGAACAAACAAAACTCTCATAGTACATTTTGTAGAGTAGCTTCTGTTCTACATGCTGACGTAGTAATAAAGATGCCAACATCTACTTTCAAGTTGCAATAATAAAAGCACAAAAGTGTACGAAAAATTTTTCATCCAAACTATTCTTGTTTTGATCTTTCAAAGAAGCATCTCATTGGTCTCAAGAGAAAACTTTTCAGCCTATATTCGGAATGAATACAACATTCTGGTCATAATCCGTAACTTTTGACTTCTCGGAAATACATTTACGTTTATCGAAAATAAATTAATATTTAATCTCAGTATTTTCAACCCATCCGTTATCTCAAGATAGTTTCAATGTATAGAGCTGAGACTTTTGCCAAAAATGAGGCCAATTTTCACAATTTATCAACTCTCTATATTATATCTTTGCTCTGCTAAACTACAAAGACCAAAAATATTGTCCTTTGATTTTGCTCAAATTTGATCGTACATCACACGCAAAAATGAAAGTTTCAGCCGAAAAGGATGTTCCTTTGTCGAGATATTGAACTTCTAGAAAATAGTTGTTTGCTACAAAAATCGAGTTTACTTGAAAAATCAATATCTCGATAAAGAAACATTCTTTTCAGTTGAAACTTTCAGAATATTCTACTGATGATTCAACTTATTCATGGGCGAAATTTCGTAAAACGGCTACAGCTCGGCTCTAAGATATCATGAGGACGAACCCTTTTAGACTTTGACTAGTCTGACCAACACGTCTATGTAGCCGCCATATGTGCTCAAACGATAGGTATCATTTCAGGTAGTTTCCTCATCAGATTTTGAAGAAAAAGCAAACATTTCTCTTCGAACGATGATCTAAATCTAAATTTGATCTTTATAGAAACGTCCATGAAATTAGTTGAGAACTTTTTGTTCTACTAACACAGTTTTGATTGTGTTTTTTCCAACATGAAATATATTTCGATTAAAGAAATAAAACAGAATCTAGAAGGAGACATTGCTTGAGATAAAAACTGTTTGATTACTTTGATAAGAGCACTTTAAATAGCTCTCGACATATTTTATCAGAGAAAAGTTACATAGTCATAAAATCTTTTTGAATCGGCGAAAACCGACCGATTACAACTTTGGAATGATTGTGCAATAACTCCAGTTCATGAATGACTTTCCAGAGTTATGATAACTTTAATGACATTTTTTTTTTAGTAACGTTCGTTCAAATAGAAAAAAGATTGCATTGATTTGATCTGAATTGCTGTCGATAGATAGATCTAATTGAAACTAAAATGTCTTGAAAGTTTGAAAAAAATTTAAATGCGTGCCTGTCTCAAGATATTAAACTTACAAAAAATTTGAATATCATGTCCTTCTTTTAACAGCTAAAGTTAGTAATAATATAGAAGATTGTCATCCGTGAGTATTCGATCTCGATTCGTAAAATAAGTAAGAACAAAGACTTTTTAGACATTCTATTCGTTTCATATTTATGTAATGTTTTGTCTACGTTTTCTTTTTCTTCAAAAAATCGAATAGTAATTATGAGAATCTGATAATGAATAAATAATACAAATGAAGCACCATGATTTATCTTTTATTGAATTATATAAAAAAAATTGAATTGTTTGTTTTATTTTTTTAACACAAACCAAACAGTATTAGATTCATTCTAGTGACTTTGATTTTGATCGTATAATATGACTCGATTATATAGATTTTAAAATTCATAATACACTCAAGAATAAAAATTTGATTTCATTAATACTCACAATATCATTCAATTCTAATCCGTAATCAAAACATAATTGATCAAATTCTTCATCAAATGATAAAACCTAATTCAATTTATTCATCTTTATTATTTAATTTAAAAATAAAATTCACTAAAGTTTTGTTCAAGTTCATCAAAATCTATACTTCGTTTAATACTAATTGTAGACATCTACAATGAAAAATAAATAAATAAATAATTACAATTACAAAAAAAAAAACTCGAAAGACGAATGAATTGTACAAGAAAGCACTATAGATATAAATTAGTTAAGCGTCACTATAAAGCTTAGAAATGTTCTCTATAAAGAACTAATCTGACTACGACTGTTTGCGCAGAATAATATTTAACAAAACAAAAAATAACAATAACAAATAAATAAATAAGTAAAAAAAAATTATATATACAGAGGCTCTCAAAATTATTCAACCAGGTTTATTTTCAATGTTTTTCCATTGCCATAAACGTTATGAAAAGTTCAAATAGTAATTTGAGTAATGAATTTTATTTCGAACACGAATTTTTGATGATAAAAATAATTACTAGTTTGTCGAAGATAAGATTTCTGAGAAATCCAAAATCAAGTTTTTTTTTAGCTTCTAGAATTTACAATCATAATTCTATTTGCTTTATTCAGAATGATGGAACAAATAATTCTCTACAAAATGAAACGTCTTCCAGCTCTTTACGACATTTTTTCGCTAAGATACACTTATTTTGCGGAAGGCATAAAAATGCTATTTCGATACAAAATAATTAATGATGAACAGAACCAATCGTGTTTGATCTCGGGTCGAAAAAAAAATGTTTGGTTCTGGTTTCGTGTTTAGTAATACATGTATTAGCGAAAGATTCGATATCATTTTCTAGCAGTGTCAATAAGTTCGAGACATTTTACATGGCCTCTAACAATGTCTGATATGGGTCAAATTTTTTTGACCCGATTCGAACTCTGATATCGATCATTTTTCTCTTTCTCTTGAGAAAATCAATTTTTCATTTCTTTTATCTTTCTGTCATTTCGTAGTTGGAAACACAGGATATGTCTTTGATATTTTTCAGTTAGGATAGCGCGATTATGTGATAGAATGTTTTCTTGTTTATCTTTCTTTTCTTATGCATATAATTTTGCGACTTTTATGTCACCATTGACGAGACAGTGCACTCCTTATACATCGTTGTCTGACGTCAATAAAGAAAAGTAGGTCAAAGAGAAGAAAAGATCGTGCGATAAATAACTTCTTGTTCTACTAAGCTTTTCCATGGTCTTTTATAGAATTTTTCAATGAAAAAACTATTCAAAATGTTTTTTGCGTCTGCAAAATATTCACGGTGCAGATCTACCACGAAATCCAAAATTTTTTCGTAACCCGAGTCGGATACTGACCTCTAATATTTTCTGTCATGGAAGTTCATTACTTTTTTAATTCACTAATACTGTGTCTATTAGGCACTTATATGTATTCGATAACTCGGTTGTTTACGAAAACAAAAAGATTAATCTTACTATTAAAATTGTAACAGCAAATATTGAAGTGATCATTACTCAACAATGTTCTCATAAATTTTTAGAACACATGAATCGTGAGAATATGACATTTGATGCAAGTTCTAAAGGACAATAAAAGATATCACTCCTAATGAAAAAGAGTTGGTCCTGATTTCATCAGGACTATATTGCCCTAATAATATGGATTTTTCATAGCGTTTACGACAGCGTAAAAAGATTAAAAATAAATCTGATCGAATAATTTTGAAAGTTACTGTACATCACTATTTGGTTAAATTATGCGTTGGATGTTGAAATTTTTCGACAAAATATTCAATCATACGATAGATTAATTCATATTGTCGTTCAGTTTGAACAAGACCTTTACAAAAAAAAAAAAGATATTTTATTTTAATAAATAAATTCTTCTTTTATTTAAGAAAAAAGAAAATAAATTTACCTGATCTTTGAGAACGAATATGTTTAACTAAATTTGGAATATCTATTTCAGTATCAAGTCCATTAGTACGAATTTTATTTAATATTGTATCAATTGCAATTGTTGCACCTGATCGACCAATTCCAGCACTACAATGAACAATCATTGGTGACTTATTCATATTAATACCGATTAGATTTATTTGAGCAATTCTTTCTAAAAATTCAAGTAGTATATCAAGTTGAGCATTATCACGTTGATTTGATCCAAGTGGAGAATCTTGAAAAACAAAAAAAATCAATTTTATCATCAATAAGAAATATTATTTATTGTACCATGATCACCCCATGCTAAATATTGCCAATGAAAAATATCCCATGTTCTTTTATCTTCAGTTGTTATTCTTAATGTACGTAAACGATAACAACAATCATCATCTTTTAATAGTTGTTGTGATGATGGTGGAAGTGCACGATATGCACGTGATGTATTATGCCATATTTGTGGTGGACCATAATTTGTTTCATTTATATTTTCAATTTTTATTGTACCATATTGTTTTGTTGTATGTAAATCAGGCCAATAACGTGCACATTTATTCTATTGAATAAAAATAAAATATGTATTTTCTAGGCGAATTCAAGAAAATAGTAAGATAAAACTATTCATATAACAAAATTCTCAAGAGAAATTATGAAATATTGTTTGTTATAATATATTTTTAATTAAATACCTTCATGCCTTCTATTTCTCGCGTTATCATAACAATAGATTTAACTAATTCTTGTTGTACCATATGCCAAAAATCATTAATTGTTGCAGGTAATGGTCCTTGTGTAGCAATATATTCTCTGCCAATACCTTCATAATATGTCCGAACACGATTTGCATTCATATAATCTGTAATTGAATATTTTTTTAAAATAATTCGTGTTTCATCATATGGTAAAATATTTTTAAATCGATTTCGAATGCTATTTTCTTGTTTTTCTCCATGTTTTTTATGATATATTAATGATTGAGATTCAGTTTGTTGATTTAATAATTCAAATTCTAAACTAAAACCAGTTTTTTGTCCATGTTGTGATGGTATTAATTTTGATAAATATTCACAACGTTGATGAACATCTCGAGCATAAAACCAATTAGATGTACATGGTTTTACAAGACGAAAAGCAACACCATTCATTGTAACGAGAATATTATGTTTTAAATAAAAATGAATTAGATCATCTAATGATTTAAAACGATCAATTTGTTCTTGTCGACCTTTACCATCAAGAAACCATTGACCATTTGAATATCTAATTTTTATATTTGCTATATTATCAGAAGTTTTCACACATATAACATAATCACCAGGTGTAGTTTCTGAATCTCGAACAAGAAATGTACCATTTTGTTCATATTTATTTAAAATAGACATAACTTGAGGATGTGATATTGCTCCATGATAATATCTAAAATATTATTATTAAAAAAAAATTCAATAAAAAACTAATTTTTATGTCTTTTTTTTTTACTTTTCTAGAGTTGGCATTTGTGCTAATATAGGAGTAGTTAATTCAATAATTTCATTATTTTTTTCTCTAAGTTCTCCAACATTTCGACGATAATGATCAATCATATCATATAATGTTGAAAAACATTCTTGTTTTTCACCTAAATCAAATCCTTCATTGGTTCTTTGAATACGTATATGTGTTATTTCACCATTTGCTCGTCTTTACAAAACAAAACAAAATTAACAATTTCATTTTTTGTCTTAGTTTTCTTTTAACATTCATACCGAACAGAAAGTACATATGCATCAGCTTTTGTACGTGATGGACGTACAAGAAAACTACCAGGAGTATTTTTTTGTTGTAAAAGTTTTTCAGTTTCTAATACAGATAAATCTCGATGAAAGAAACTAACGAAAAATAAAAAAGATAGATGATATGATAAAGTGATGTAAGTCAAGTTTTATTTTATTTACCCACGAGCCAATCGACTGGTCATAGTTTTTAATATAATATAAGTCAAAATATGAGATTTGGAAAAAAATTATTTGTCATAATTTGATCGAAAAGAAAACTTTAGTGATAAAAATAGAATATTCAATTATTTTCATCATGTATATCCAATCAATAAATATTTCCTTGAAAAACTTCAAGAAAACGATTTCGATTAAAAATGAAGTTGGTCAGTAAGTAAAAGAAATGTTTTTTTTTTGACTTATTTTTGATAGGATTCAATCAAATGAATGATTATAAATCATTTGTCAACTGTATAATAACACCATCTATCGAGTAATGCTATTCATTAATTAAATTTATAGGGAAAACTTTTTGAAATAGTTTCATGTTTAAGGAATTTGATCTTGGATATTTATTATTAGAATTTCTTCAGCTTGAATTTGTTTGAATACTTCAACAATCTTGACTTTTATTATCGTTTAATTCATCTTACATTCAAGTTCTGTTTATAACAACAGTGTTTGCTCTACACTTATATGTATAAGTTGAAGATAAGGTAACTACTCTATATAAGATAATTTTATTCAATGATATAAAAGGAAGGTGAGAGAACATTCTTTGTCGCAAAATACATAGTTACTTTTTGTTTCTTCTTCTTCCTAACACTATTGTTGCACGATTAATTGTTTCGTCTCAAATAGTTTTTTTCTGATACATTCGACTTTTACCCGTCATTTTACCTTTCTGAAAAGTCACGAAATAAAATGGGTAATACATGTACATCAGCAAAAGCCGAGCCAACAATTAAACCAATTACTGAACCACCTAATGCAACAAGAACAAAATCATCATCTGAAGAAAATCCAACGATATCAAAAATTGTATCTGAAGAACAATCACCAATATCAACAAGTGCATCTGAAGAAAATCCAACAGTATCAAAACTTGTACCTGATGAAATTCGGTCACGATCATCAACAAATGCAACACCTATTGATCTTCATCAATCAGAAAATGTTCTAAAGATTGATGAAGAAGATAAAGAAGAGGTTTGAAAAATTTTTCAAATGAAAAAAGAAAAACAAAAAATGTTTCTTAAAAAGCAAATTTTTTTTTTGCAGGAAACTACTCGTGTTGAAACATGAATACAACATCTTAGTTCATTTACGTTTTTTTTTTCTCTCGCTCATATACTTGACTAAATCATACAAATAAAGAATAAAATATTCTTAGTTTTTCTTCTATTTTCATTTGTTCTCTTATGCCATCGATGACATAAGATTATTATTTATCATTGTTTTACTTCCAAACATCGATGATTTTGTTGTTGTTGTTGTTGTTGTTTGTCCAAGTAATTTAAGATTTTGTCCATGATCTATTGCTGATATTGGTGTACGTTTTTTAACTGTTAATTCAGCTGGACCAATTTTTCGTCGAGTTTTCGGTAATTTTGAACGTGCACGAAGATGAGTATAAAAATTTGCAAATGTTTCAACAATAATCGGCATAGGTAAATCAATAATCAATACACCGGCAACTAAAATATTAGGAAAAAAAAGTTGCAAATACAAATTTTTAATCTTAAAAAAAGAAAATAAAAAAGATTTATACCTGTTGAAACAGCACCAACTAACATTCCTAACATAGTTTTTGGATAATAATCACCATAACCTATTGTTGACATTGTAATCATATTAAACCATAAGGCATCAGGTATTGATGTAAACATATTATCAGGATTTTTTGTCATACGTTCAGCATAATAAATTAATGATGCAAATACAGCAACAGCAATTAAAACAAAAAATATTAATAACCATAAAACAGATGATGAATATTGCATTGATGTTATAATAACTTTTAAACCAGGATGATGATTAAATAATTTAAATAAACGCATTATACGTATTGTTGATAATAAATCAAGTGCTTCATTATCATTAACATTTAATTTTATTAATGCCCATGTAAAATAAAACCAAAATGTTGCAAGAAAATCAATTATATTTAATGTAGATTTACAAAATTCTTTTTTATTTGGACTAACTATAAACCTCATGACTATTTCAAATATAAACCATGAATTACCTTAAAATAAAAATTAAAAATTAAAAAAGAAAATAAATATAAATTAAAATATTAACATACAAATCCATTCAACAATATCAAATGTTGGATGTACTTGTTGTCGATTTAATGTTGGTGTTCGATCTGTTGTTGTTTTATTAATATAAACATTAATAAAATCGATTTCAGTTATACGAAACATTGATAATGTTTGTAAAACAAAAGAAAGTATTGAAACAAGAATAAAAAATATTGAAATCACAGTAACAACTTTAGCTACAGTTGAAGATCGTGGTTCTTCAAATATTTGCCATATAATCATCATCATCTTTTTATATTTTGGTAAACGACCTTGTGCATAATCATAATTATCATCCCAACCAAATTTTTTAAGTACTTCTTGTTTCGATGAACGTACAGTATCTAATTCTAAACTATCTAATATTGATAACGTTTCAGCTGTTGAACGATGTTTTGTATAAGTCATCCTAAAATTAAATAAAGAAAAAAAAAACCAATATTGAAATTATTATTTAACAAAAAAAAAAAGAACACATACCAACAACATGGTTCAACATCTTCACGTTGTAAACCCCAATACGATAATTCATCTTCAAATAAAGGTCCACAAACATTTAATGGATAATGTAATTTTCCTGTACGATAATAATTTAATATTTGAGAAAAAACACCTGGATGACGATCAAAAAAATATTCATTTAATATTGGATCATAATATGATAATTGTTCAGTTAATTTTGATAAACGTGTAGCTGGTAATTTTTTTAATGTTGATTTTAATGTTTCAAAACGTGTACCACCTACATTAAGAATAACACGTGCATCGATATCTGAATTACCAAGTAAATTCACTGCCATCAATTATTTTTTCTTAATTAAAATTTATTCACAGATTATCAAAAAAAATAGCTTTTTTGTTTTCTTTTAATAAAAATCGACCTAAAGAAAAAAAACAAGAAATGCTCATATATAAGGTTGAGCTTTGTTCATGTGCATGTCTTACCATCATGAAGAGTGATGAAATCAATAAGAAAACTTGAGACTATTGATTATTATGATAGTAGTAGGAGAAAAAAAAAGAAGGAAAATTTGGTCTATTAATCATCGAACGTACGAGAAACAACAACGGCAAGCAGCGGCCGAGATAGAGGAAGAACAAAATTAGGCTCTAGTTCCACTCACTCTGACGCTTTTACCAAACGCAACAAGTAAATGCAACCGAGAGAACAGGAATTTTTTCTTTTTTTTTCCTCTCGGAAAAGCCAAGAAATGTATTCATATAAAGAACGCAAACTCTCACAGAACGCACGCATAGACAAAAAAAAATAAGAAATAAGTAAAAGCTATGCGTGTTTCCTTTCTTTCTCATTCACACACACATAACACATAAAGTCTTTCAATTCATTAACAGTTCACTATTTGCTGTTGTTGTCATGCCATCATCAATATATTTGCTGCTTGATTTTTTTATGTTTCGTTTTCTATCACCATTCAGTGTATCATAAGTTGATTTTGGTGAAGTGATACTTTGGGTGTCTTTGTCTTTCTGTTTATTACGAGAAAATGTACGTTTTATACGAGAGAAAATTTTCATTTTTCTTATTTGTTCATCATCAGGTGTTTGATCAAAAAAACGATCATAAATTGGTTTACGTGTTGATAATGTTGTTTTTCCATCAGCATCAGTTTCGTGTACAGCATAAACTGTTTTACCATCACGTAAAACAAGATATTCAGGATTTATTTCTCTATCATTATCTTCTAAATCACGTAATTGTTGTGCATAACGATGTAAATCATCTGCATCAACACTATCTTCTTCATCTTCATATTGAAGCATATCATAATTTGAACGTTCACCAAATAACATATTATTCTCATCACGTACAAGTGTATTTACACCTGCACGAATGCGATTTAAAAATCCACGTTTTTGATTTGTTGTTGTTCCTGTTGATGATGTTCCATCGAATTTATCATCTTTACCACCAGGTAACATTTTTCGTATACGTGATTTTGGTTCATTTCGAGCTGATTTTGGTAAACATGTAATAGACCACTCATCATTACCAAAATATTGTGAAAAATTAACTGCTGATGCTAAATTACTATATGTCTCTGTGATTGCCGTTTCATAATCACTTGTTTGATATACATCAGTAAATTGTTCACCTTCGCCTGGATATGGTGGTACATCATTAGATATATCACCAGTTATTGAACCATAAGTACCATCATATTTATATGTATCATTAAATTCTTTAATAAAAAAACAAAAATTTATTTATTTCATTTTTTTCGTTTATAAAATCTAAATCTTCGTTGGTTAGTAAAGACATAACTTATTCCTCCAATCCGATATATATATATATATATGTTTTCTTTTTCTTATTCTCTTTTAACTATATCTATCACTATATCATATCATATTGAATTTATCATGGCACGTACAAAACAAACAGCTCGTAAATCAACGGGTGGAAAAGCACCACGTAAACAATTAGCTACAAAAGCAGCACGTAAATCTGCACCGGCAACTGGTGGAATTAAAAAACCACATAGATTTCGTCCGGGTACAGTTGCATTACGAGAAATTCGACGTTATCAAAAATCAACAGAATTACTTATTAGAAAATTACCATTTCAACGTTTAGTTAGAGAAATAGCACAAGATTTTAAAACAGATTTACGTTTTCAAACATCAGCTATTTTAGCTTTACAAGAAGCTTGTGAAGTAAAAAACAATGGAAAATAAAATTTGATTAATTTCGTTTTATCTTTATAGTCATATCTTGTTGGATTATTTGAAGATACAAATCTTTGTGCTATTCATGCGAAACGTGTAACAGTAAGTATTAAGTTTTTTTTTCGATCGAATATGATTTAGAAAGTAAATGTCTATTTTGGTTTTTTGCATAGATTATGCCAAAAGATATTCAATTAGCTCGACGAATTCGTGGTGAACGTAGTTAATTGTAAAAATTGATAAACATATATATATATATTTAAATAAATACATACCTGAATTAGTAGCATGTTCATTTAAATTGTTCATTTGTAAATCATCAAATGATTCTATAAGTTTTGTTGATGTTTTAGGTGTTTTATGTTTTTTTGTTTTTTTAACTTTTTTTTCTATTGATGGTTCTTCTAATTCATTCATAGTTGAAGTATCAATCAATTGGAACTCTTCTTCTATTGATATTGGTTTTGGTACTTTGGATTTTTTCTTTTTTATAGGTTCTTCTGTTGCTGTTGTTGTTGCTGTTGTTGGCATTGGATCAATATTTTCATTATTTAAATCAATTTTTGGTGCTCGTTTTTTCTTTGGTTTCACAATAGTTGAATCGATTTCAGAAATAGTATTTCCATTTTGTATTTCACCATTTTCATGAACTTTACGTGTTTTCTTTTTGGTTTTAACTATTGTATCACTATGTCCATTTTCATATAGTTCTTCAGTTGGATTATCTGTAGTTGGTAGAACTGCTTTTGGTACTCGTTTTTTGGTTTCACTTGTTTCTATTGAATGTGATAATGTACCATTTATTGATATAGGTTTAGGTCTAGTATAACGACCTTCAGCACCATTAGTAAAGACATCTTTACCATAAGATGATCTATCAATTTCTTCGTAACTCATAATATTAGGCTATGTTATTTTACACTAGAGAGTAAAGTATCTGTAATGATGTTTATTTATAGAAAGTGTAATAAAAGAAATTATGACAACGGAAATTTTACCGAGACAAGTCATCAAAAAAAATGGGTAGTCTTTCTTTTTTCTTTTTTTATAACATGACTTGTTCGATCAAGCGTAGCATTTTACCATCATCATTGACTGTCAATTGTACAAGGTTAAATTAATGAATATAATTCAAGGGAAAAACGAGGTACAAGAAAAAAAAATGTGTTAGTGAATATATGAGTAACTGTTTTGTTTTGCACTTGTTGTTGTTGTTGTTGTTGTTGTTGTTATTATTCTATGATAATAATTAATTAAAACATAATTGAAGTACGACGATTTTGTTTGGGTGGTAAACTCTAAAAATAAAAATTTTATTTTTGTTTTAAATTTATTTTGATTAAAAAAAGAAAATAATTCTTTTACACTAGTACGTTTTCTCATAACTTCTAATTCTGTATCATAAGATGTGACTAATGTTTCAAGATATTTTTCAATTTCATCAATAGATCGATTTTGTGGATTATAAGCATTTTCAATTAAAATTTTATATAATGATCGATTAATAACTATCTAAAAAATAAAATAACAATAAAAAAAATTCGACACATTAATTTTATTTTGAGAAATATCATACATAATTATTATGTGTTCGTGCTTGTTTTAATTTATGTAATTCTTCGACAATTATTTTACGTCGATCACATAATTTCGTATATGTTGTAGTTGAATGTGATGTATGTATTATAATTTTATTAGATGAATCCAATCTTTAGAAGAAAATATATATATATATATATTTAACAGTAAAAAGTAGAAATTACTTTGAATCATCACTCTGATTTATTGAAGTTTTTGTTGTTTTTGATTTAGCAAAATTACGACGACGTTCTTGTACATGATTTTCATTTGATTTAGAAGTATTTGTCACTGATGATTGAAGACTTAATGAATGAGATCTTGGACAATTAGGCAAATTTTTATTATCTAAATGTGTTTTTGTTTGTTTTGATAAATTCGGTTTTAAATTTGTTGATAAATTTAATGAATAATTAATTGGTTTCTTCAATGAATCATTTTTTATTTTATAATCAGAATTTTTCTGTTTAGTAATTAATGCATCTTTTTGTAATTTATATTGATGATAATACTTTTGAATACGTCGAACAAAAATGTTAGCAAGTAAATTACCACATTGACCTCCATGTTTATAAAGAAGATATTGAGCACATACATTTTGATGACAATTACGAGCAAGGTCATACGGAGTTAAATAATCACCCTTAATAGATAATTGTTAATGAGTCGATCAACGTAAAATGTAATTCCGTCACGCTTTGTTGGTTTCATTATGTACAAATGACTCAATGTCGTGGATTAAATACGTTTATAGTTTTCAACAAAGAATTGTGGTTTTTTGAAATGAGATATTGTAAAGTTGTTCACTACTTCTCATTCATTACAAACAGCGTGTGACGAAATAGCTTCTACTGTGGACAAGTTGTTAATGTGAAAACATCATGCAAATTAGTTTGCACTATTTTTAGATGAATATAAATGTTTTAAGTGGACTTCTTCTTCGTCTTTCCGAGGTTTCTAAAGAACGACTCATTAGAACTATTTAAAAAGTTTCAGAGTAAATAGATCTCGATGAGTAGAGCTAAATTTGTCATAGACTACAAATTTCGAAATATTTTCTTCTAAGAAATATCTGGATTGCAAAGGATAAAAACTATCCCACTTTCTCAGCTGCGATACATTCGATAGAGCGGAAATTTTCTTTTTTAGAAGTACTAGACTCTGTTTGAAGTGCCTGCTGTTTTTAGTTTCTTTGTAACACATAAAATCAAAATACTGAGTATACTGCCAAAACTACATGTTCTTCTTTTTTACTAGAACTTGTTTTGTAAAATCTGTCAAAAATCAATGGTGCAAGTTTCCTCAAAACTTAAAGAAATAGACACGTCAAACAGTGTCCAGTATCTGCAAAAAAAAAATAAAGTTCCAGCTCGATCGAATATAGCATCTCGGAGAAACGGGAGCGAATATTGGGGTCATCGTAATTTCAGTATCTTCTCATAGAAGACAGTATCTAAGGTGATAACTTTTGCTTTACTAGCCAAGATATATCTGCTCTGGAAATTTCAGATTTTTCTGATGAGTCGGTTCTGCAGAAACCCCAAGAACGATGAGGTACCTTGAAATTGATGAATATGATCGTGTAATTGGTTTATTCATGGTTTCTAGTCATTGAATCGTATGGATTCTTGTTTTTTTTTACGAAACAAGAATCATCAACTTATCTAGATTCTAAAAATTTCTATTTCCTCTATTTAATGATTGCTTTCTGTCTACGGCTTTCTCTACTTTCTATGTTATATTCCTAGTCAAACTGTTTTTCTCATGTTCTTGCAGTATTTGAGTATCTTGACCAAGAACATTCTTATGCAAGTTAGAGTTAGTAATACTCCGTTGGATTTGGTCATTTGTCACAACTCTGAAAACTATATCTGTGATGCATGAAACTAATTTTAATTATATGTTGTATGTGCTTTTCGATTCTTTTACCTAAGTTTTACATTCAAAATGATTTGATTCATAATAGAAAAATTTACAGATTACTTAATGAAGTCTGTAACCGACAGACCAAAGAAGGAAATTCACATCAGTAAGCAGATTCAGTCATTCTATAATCCGAGTCAAGTCGAATTTGACTTGACTTGTTCATCTCTGTAATCATCTATTCCAGTTTAATCATACTGAGAAAAGCAAATGACTTTTGCAACAATCTTTTCACCTTTTATCCTTTATGAATACGAACAAATGAATCCTGATTCATGGTGTAAGCTGATGGATTCTAGGTGAGGCCAACGAGGAAATCTCTTCAGCTGCTTCCTTCCGATTTCAATGATTGTTTTTTTCTACCTATAAATATTACATAGTGTTCTAATAAAAAACTCTAAAAGGATTTCGATTACTATTGAAATTTGATTAAACAATCGAATTTTGATCTAAAAACTTTTTACAGATAGAAAAGTCAATTAGATTAGGTTCCATAACAAAAATTCAGAAGTTTTGAGCAAAGTCTCTTCGAGATATGAAGCTTTCAAAAAAAATGTATGTTGTATACACTATTCATGAAAAGGGTTTATATCTCGAGAAGACTTTAGTCGAAAATTTGTGAATGTTTTTATGGAAGGTATTCTAGTTGAGTTTTCTATATGCACAAAGTTTCAGATCAAAATTCGATAATACAAGTGTTCCAAAAACTTGGAACTTCTAGAAAAAAATTCGATAGTTTAGTCAAATTCAAATCCTTTTAAGATTTTTATTAGAATATTATGTAGTATCTATAAGAAAAAAAAATCATTGAAATTGAAAAGGAGCAGTTGGAGAAGTTCCCTCGTTACCCTCTTCTCTAGAAGGCTTCAAATAAAGGGGAGAAAAACGAGACTTCAGTACTTCATTTGCACTGAAGTCTCGCTTTTTTCCCTTGATTCGAGCCCTCTTCCTCTCCTAACAATAGTCAGATCCTGCCTGAAAAAGTGGTTAAACTTTCTCTGAAATCACTATCAAAAGATCTCTGCTCTTTCTAACGACATAGTTAGCGTGCTGAATCCCTCGTACAACATTTTTCTGTTTGCCCCACTTATCCTGATGTCAATCATATTCCACTTATGAGCTTATATGACATATTTAAAATCTAATGTTTTCTTATTATTTTCATAATTAGTGTTTTTGTTTTGTTTTGTTATCAAATTATTTCTATTTAAATTCTGTTCAAGAATATTTTTAAAATAAATATTTTTATAGATGAATTTTTAAATTGAATAATAAAACATTAATACTTATGATATATTACTTACAGATGAATTTCGCATAAACGAATTAATTCTTGCTCCACATTCAATTAAAATTTGACATGTATCAATATCACCTAAACTAGCTGCTAAATGAAGAGGAGTTCGATGTTCATCATTTTGAATATTAATCTTCTTTGGATATATTAGAAAAATATATCGAATAACAGCTAAAAAGTTCAATTAATCAAAGAAGATAAAAACAGAATTTCGTTTTCTACCGAAAATTTTTGAATATTCAATTGTTTGATTATGAACTTTTTTAAGTGAAAGAATATTTATTACTTCATGTATTGGATAATCACCACGTTTATTTTTTATCCATATATTAGCATTAGATTTAATTAAATATTTTAAACAATCAAGATTTCCATTACATATTGCATAATGACTTGGACTATGTGAAATTCAAAAACAAAAAAAAAAGAAAAATTTTAAAATAAATTTTTGCATATAAAACATACGTTCGACCACGTTTATCTTTATGATTAGGATTTGATTTTAAATCAAGTAATAATTTACATGCATTTGAATGATTATACATAATAGTATAAAATAAAGCTGTACAACCATTAATATCTTCACCTAAATAATCTTGTAAATACAAAAAAAATTATTTAAGTAATTTAATTCAAACCTTCTATTGGACATTTACAATGTTCGACTAACATATGAATACAAGAAACATGACCATGATTTGCTGCACAATGAAGTGCTAAATGAGAAAAGAACAAAAAATATATAAATAAAAAATATTCTATTATTTATTAATTTATACCAGTCAGAGAATTTTTATCAACATGTAATTGATTGGCACCATATTTATATAATAAACGTAATTGATCAATTGTACCTGAAAAATGAAACATTAAATTCTTACAATATTAGATGAAATATAAATTATGAATTTCATTCATAATTAAATAGTCTTCTTATAATAGAAAAATATCTAGTTCATCATTGAAATCCTTAAGGTTAACATTAATTTCCTGTAGAAAACAAATGAAGATGAATCATTTCATAACCTGCACTAGCAGCCCACATAAACGGTGTTCGTTGTTGTTCATCAACACAATCAATGTCTACTCTATAATCAATAATTTTTTGTAAAATAGCCAAACCTAATTATAGAAAACTATTTTAAAAATATTATTTCGAAAAATTTGTATTTTTACCTTTGCCTGAATCAATTTTAAAATCTTTATTTACCGAAATATTACCACCTAATTGTGATGCATAATGAATAGGAAAAGCACCATGAATATCAGGTATATGTATAGGTGCTTTATATTTAATCAAAATATTAAAAAGATGAACATATCCACAGACTAATATAGAAAATATTTGTTTTGTTTTTTTTTTTCCTAAATTCAAAAGTAAATTTACCTGTTATCCAATGAATAACAGAACGAGATTTATTGTCAAGTAACTTAACATCTGCACCTTGTTCACATAAAAATTTCACCATAATTTCATTGCCATTCATACAAGCTAGAATTCATATTAATAGATTTTTTTTGTTTTTTTTTTTTCAAATCTTATTTATCAATATACCTAAATGAAGTGCTGAACAACCTTCATTATCTTGTAAATTAAGAATAGTATTTTTTATTAAATCATCTTTTAATAAAAGGTAAGCACAATCTGTAATTGTACTATTACAACAATAATGAAGTGCTGAACGACCTTGTTTATCTAATTGATTGATATTATACTAAACAATTTATTTTAAGCAAAAGAAAAAAACAAAAAAAAGAAAAAATAATATTCTTACTTTTGCATCGATTAGAAACTCTACTTGATTACTATCACTTTTTTCACAAGCTTCAAATAATAACGTCGACATATTATTTAATATATTCTTCAATAAAAGAAATAAGTAAGTATGTCTAAATGATAACGTTGTATCGATAAGGTATATACGTAATTTAGCAGGTTTTCTCTTTCTTTTAATTATGAATATGAACGCAAAAAGAAAAAATGATCTCTAAGAATAGAAAGAATCCGTTGTCATTCATATTCTCTTGTTTCTGACATACTCTACCAGAAAAATAGATGAAAGACAAAAAAAAAAAAGAAGATTTGTTAAACATTAAAAAGAAAAAAAGAAATATAAAAGAAAAAGAAACTGACGAATACTAAAGAAGTAGACATTAGATATTGTTTGTGTAGGGGATTAATAATTTGTCTAGATAATATAGTTGAATAATTTATGAATCTAATTACATGAATTATGTTCGAAATATTACAAAAATTGATAGATTTTTATTGTACAGTTCATAAGAATGATAAGATGTTGTTGTTCGCATGTCAAATATATATTATTTTTTGCAAATAGAAAAAAAAAAGAATTTATCCGGATGCAAAGATTATGCTTACGAACACTCATTTGTAATTATATTAGATATTTTTCCATACTTATCTATAATAAGACCAAACCTTTCTTTTTCAAAATTATGTTGCAGCTCATATTATTATCTTTTCTTTTTATCATTACTGGAATTTATTGATAATAAAATGGAGGAAAAAAAAACATGAGATTTCGTCAACAACATGTAGATATCCAAATTGCAAACGAAATTTTGAATTGTATTCGTTTTATTAATTCATCTAGACTTTCTTTAAATTACAAAAGCCTGGAATAAAATAAAGCTTTTATTTTATAACATAAAATATAATTTGAGATTATTTTATAAAGAAAACTGCTTTTCTTCAAATGTGTACTGGATAGAATTTATTAGGACTCGACATGAATTTTAAAAAAGAGATAATCTCTGTCTTAACTTTACTCTATATTTTGTTAAGATTTTTTAAGTTTCCATTCATCTTATCGAATGATAATCGATTATTTGCTAAAAATATATTAACAGTAAATAAAATATCTGATTTTCTACGGCCTAAAAAATTCGAAATCAATAATTTTTAATTCATATACAATTTAATCTTGTTTCGTTCATTTTTCATTTTTTCTGCCTTCACTTTTATCTGACGAAGGAATGTGTCTAAATGTTCGATTGCTTTCTTGATCAAGTTTCGACTTGAAACTTTGCACCAGTGGAGCTCTCAATGACACAGGTTCATTTTGAAAGTTTCACAGATTTAAGTATTTGTTATTCTGTGATATCAGCATAAGAAGGATGATTGCCTTTTTTTCAGAAGGTTTTTGTTTTGCAGTATTCATATTTCAGAGTAGGAAATCCTTAAATTAGTGGAATTTTCACAATGAGTTAGTGTCATCAACAACTTCATTTGTGCAAAGATTTCAAGTCGAAACTCGAAATTCGATTTTCATAGTGGTCTGAGAGTACCACAGCTTTCTGTTAAAAAATACAGTAAAAATTCGATATCTCAATAGCAAAAGCTCAAACAACCGAACTCTTTTAAGCTGTTACGCTACTCACCATAATCTCTCACCTGAATATAGTCTCGATCAACAACCTATCGGACATTCACACTCTCAGTAGAACTCAACCATTGGTAGAGAAGTTCAAAGCCTTGTAAGAAAGGAGGGATACTAAGTAGAATCTATTGGATTAGTCGCGAACTCCATCCCGAACCCGAGCGAGTTCGAGTCCAAAACTTTTGGATTCGACAGGTTCCAGTGCTGAGTTTCCAATCTAGTTGCGTGACTACTTATTAAATATATGTGATCGTATTCTGATCAGAGCTGAAACTTTTCATTTCAATGTATATCTTAAAATCAATTCGAACTAATTTTTATAATATATGATTACACATCATTAAATCATTAATGAATCTTTTTTTTTTTTTGTTGAAATTTGTTTAACAAACATGCAATTTATTTTAATTCTCACGCTATCCTATTTATAATATATCTCTAAGTAGCCTATTTTTAGCATTGACGCATTAGTGTCTAGAAATAATACTTTCGAGAATAAGAAAAACATTAAATAATGTCTTTTTTTTTTAAGTATTATAATGGAACTTTATTAGAAATTTATCGAAAAATTTGATAATATTACTAAAAAAAAACAACTTGTCGAGTAGAAAAAAAACGTCGACAAAAAAAAGACAGTCTTTCTTTGCTGATACTAATATTTATAATCATTATTTTAATAACGATATCGAGATTTTAAATCAATAAGTTCATTTTTTAATTTATTTATTTTACGTTTAAGATTTTTAATTTCATGACGAGCATCAACTTTTTCTCCTAAAATACAAAAAAAAAAAGAAATTTCATTTTTTGTTGTTTCAAAAACAATCAAATCTTACGTTCAATTTGTTTTTTTAATAATTTATTTCTTTTTATTAATTTTTCAATATGTATATCATTATCTTCTATTTGTTTTTCATTTGATTTTGCTCGTTTCATTTCAATTGGTATATCATTAATACGAAACATATTTGTTTGAAGAAGAATTCTATCAACTATATCATAATCTTTAAAATAAATAAATCCATGAAATGATTTTGATACAATTCGAATTTTTTCAATATTTTTTTCATATTTATGAAAACAATTACGTATTGTTGTTTCATTCCATTTTATTGATAAATCATTATTTATTGGTTTTATAAATAAAATTTTTGAATCCATATATGCACGTTCAATATATCCATAACGAAAACGACGAATAAATATTTCTTGTTTATTAATAATACATTTTCGATATTTTAATAGAACACGATCAATTGAATCCATATCAGAAAAAAGAATTATTGCAGATTTTGGAGTCCAAGATTCAATATGTTCTATTCTACCAAATGGACTAAAAAATGTATGTAAATCTTGCGTATTTATTCGACCATCAAGATTACTAAGAAAAATTTTTAAACAATCATCACCAATTGTTGGTGGATATGTTACATTAAAATCTTGAATCGATTCCATTGATTATTATAATCTACAAAGAAAATTTTCTTTTATGGCGATATTGTTTGAGCTTTTTTTTTTTGCTGTTTGTTATTAGGTTTTTTTAGTTAAAAAAGTAAAACAAACAAGAGTGATTCATTACTATATAGTTTTGAAAGGATTCAAAAGTTCGTAATAGTGATTTGCATAGACAAAGAAATAATCATAGCAATAATTTATTGAATAGTATTTGTTCTAGAGTCCTGTAGGACATTCGGGGCTCGAAAAAAGTTCATTTCGCAGAACTCTAGTTTGTTGTGAAAAACAAATTATATTCAAAAATGAAATTCTTAGCACAAAATAGTTTATCAACAAATGATTTATATCAAAGTTGATATTGACTAGAACTCGTCGAGTTCGTCACGGACTACAGATGTACGGGACATCCGGACCGTGAAAAAAAATTTGCCGTAACCGGAACTCAAGTTTGTAGTAAAATATTCTATAGTTTTGAGCGAATTATCTTATAAATCATATGAACTAGAACATAATTCAAGAGTGATGACCCAAAAAAATGCTAGTTGTCAACTAAATAAATCCAAAAAACGAGTATTAAAGAATTATTTTAAATGTCATACGAATAAACTCTGGAATAGTTTTCTCTAGGCCGAGGCCGAGACCAGAAAAACTAAAATCACTGGAGTCAAGGCCGCTAGAAAAGAAGTTGTCGATTTAACTGATATTGTACTATGATCCGGAACAAGCGATATAGATATGTGTCGTACCAATCTTTGCACAATCAATAGTGCTGATTACTAATGAAAATTAATATGCTTGTACTGATTTCTTGTTTCATTATTTTGTTTCGAAGAGGAAGCAAAAGAATTATAATGCGATAACTAATTCTAATATTTATTCGATCTGTTGCATAATTAGTCTCATTCCAATTGGTGGACAGTAAATTTCCAAGATTGAAGAAAACTCTCTTGCTGCACTATGAGGTCATCATGCTGAATCATGTCCAGTATTTTATGCAAGTTTTCTCTTCCAAAAGGGACGATTTAAAACTCAAGGAAGATCAATCCGATATATTCGGAAGAGCGCTGTCCGCTTAGCGATAAAACACTGATCTCATTATCCTATTGAAGTTAGGTGTATCATTACCTTGTAAGATGATTCTAACTTATTACATAGGTAATGTAGATTTTAGAAACATCTTTCAATCTATTCTTTGGTAAGAAATAGTCAGTCCAATTTCATCACTCATTCAGTTTACTAAACTATCAGAAGTTTCAAACGACATATTTGCCCTCTAATCGGGTAGAAAAGTTTTCGAAAAAATCAATAAATAACCAATGAGAAGGTTGAGAGAAAAATTCTTTTAAAAATTTCTCTCATTCGATCATTCATCAGATTTTCTCGTTGAAATAATCTCAATTCTACTTTATAATTTTTCAAAAATAAAATAGAATTCCCTTTTTTTCCTTATAGATGACGCTTTAAATACCTTCTCAATCGAGCAATTCATCATGCAATTAAATACACCAATAATAAAACGATTAAAATTAATTATAGACCTCAAGTCAAATAAAAAAGAAAAGAAAAGAAAAAGAATTCGTTATTTTTTCCGATAATGTCAGATAATCAATACGAATTAGTTCAATATTGTATAAATACTCGACAATATTTAACAATAAAAATCTTGAATTGTTATTTTTTATTACATCGAAATATAATTCAACATTCAAAAAATCGTGAATTAAGTTTAGGTAAATAATAAAAAAATAAATTCTTTTTTTTTTTTGTTTTTTTTCGGTCATTTTTAATAGAATTACCACCAGCTATTATTAAAACAATCTTTGGTTCCAATCCATTATCAGTTATAGATGTAACAAGTACATGTCATGTTGATCCATCACTTTATGATATAATTATATTTTCTGATAAATCAGTTACTTATACTCGAACAAAATTTCTATGTGAAAATAATAAAGAAAAAGATAATATTGAAGAAACTATAAAAATAGTAA